AAACTAACCAGTGAACTAATGACTTCTCTGAGGATTTCCAGTTTTTAGTTTTATGATCTGGCTATTGGAAATGGTAATGAAAGGATGAATTTAAGAATAATAGGCATCAGTACAATTGAAAACATGTTTGGGGGAGGAAATTTTGATAAAGAATGTTCACATAGCATTCCCAGAGAAGCAATCAATGTTAGGAACAAGGAGACAGAGAAACACTAGAGAGGAAAGAAAATAGTGCGGGAGAAAGGCAAATATGGGAGGGAAGCTTCAAGAATTCAAACTCACCTACAACTGATATGCTTTGTGTCAGTATTTACCTTGATCAGACCAACATAAAGACTAATAATTAGATGATTGTCAGAGCTCATTAGGTCATGTTCAAAACAAGAATTTTATTATGTTTTATATTATCTTCATTAGTATTATCATTGCAATGTTATTTTTTTTTGTCGGTCATGGGGCTTGAACTCTGGGCCTGAGTGCTGTCCCTAAGCATTTCAGAGCAAGGCGAGCGCTCTACCACTTGAGCCACAGCGCCACTTCTAGTTTTCTGAGTGGTTTATTGGAGAGAAGAGTCTCATGGACTTTTCCTGCCTGGGCTCGCTTTGAACTGTGATCCTCAGATCTCAGCCTCCTGAGTAGCTAGGATTACAAGCGTGAGCCACTGGCACCTGGCCATAATGTTCATTGTACATGTTATTGATGTGCTCATCTTGCTGATGGAAATATGATTTTCAGGGAAGTTAGGTTAAGAACAAGGACTCATAGATAGTAATTGTAAGGTTTGATATGTATCAGTTATAAGAATATAAGCTCTTTTTCTGCTACAGCTCTACATTGCCTGTTCATGCAAATATACATTTAGGTTTAATTTGGTCCCACTAGACAGTTATCCCACCACTGCTAAGATGCATGGAGACGTGACATGCTTATTTAAGAATTAAATTCATCTTTAGCATAATCAAAGTTTTCATATCTCTAGGCTCTCTGTCTCATTCTCTCTCTCTCTCTGTCTTCTCCTTCTCCATATATACACTTGCATATGCATATGATAATATACAGGAACATGTGTGGAAACTCTGAACATTATTCTGCGCTTGTTAATTTATTTAAGATCCCTTCAAGGACTCCCTACTTCAAGGACTTATTGGCTGCATATTTATTTGCTCTATCCCCAATGAGGGGAACAATATATACTCAGGGTGAGGGCAGGGGGACTGGGGGTGGGAAGATGGGAAGGGATGGTAAGGGAAAACAAAGGAGGAGGCAACAATGCTTGATAAGAAATGTACTCATAAGTACAAAATGTCATGTCAAAAACGAGCTTTACAATGTCGGTGTGGGGGGGGGGGGAGGGGGGGAAGGATTGGGTGGGGGGGGCGGCTGGGAAGGGAGGTGAAGGGTAAACAAAGGAGGAGGCTGCAATGCTTGGTAAGAAATGTATGCATTATCCTGCCCATGTAATTGTAACCCCTCTGTACAGTATGTTCTCAAATAAAATAAAATAAAATTAAAAAAAAAAGAAATGTACTTATTATCTTGCTCATGTAATCATAACCCCTCTGTACAGTATTTTCACAATAAAAAAGTACCAGTCACTTCTGTCTTTCCCTATGAAAACACAAGTACTGAGTCTGGATCCAAGGAGTAAAGAAGCAAATAAAAATTCAATTATCTTTAATTTGATGTAAACCCAGTTTAGAGCCTGAGACCTAGAAATCACTATGGTTGAGCATTTGTAATGGGTAGAGATTGTCGGTTCATACTTGAGTAATGTGAACACATTATTAAACTTCTTGCCTTCATAATTCACAGGAAATACCATCAACCAAACCCATGGTATTATAGAGAGTAGACCACGAATGCACTTCAACGTGTCTACAGCCAATCTTGACAGGTGAACGTAATGAAGTGTCAGCTTTTTCTGAACCCAGAATTAAATTGTCAAATAGATACATGAGTGTCACCAAGTTATTAAACTTTCTGCAACTTAGTTCACAAATGATGAATGCTTAAAATGAGGGAGGTATTCAATTCATTTTCTTCAAATTCTAGAGTAATACTGTGGATATTAAATTACACAAATTGGTTTTAAACCCATGCATTTTCTAGAGAAATTGCAAGCAAGTTATTGTTAAATGATAAGAAATGTACTCATTACCTTGCTTATGTAATTGTAACCCCTCTGTACAGAATTTTCACAATAAAAAACTTATTTAAAAAAAGGAAATCTGTGTTTTGGATATATATCATATATCCTGTCCCTTTTTTCTCATGTCTACAGAGCAACTAGAGTCTCTCAGATATCATAGATGGAGAACAGGACAAAACTTACAGAATTTGTCCTGCTGGGATTAACTAATGACCCAGACCTGCAGGTCCTCATTTTTATAACCTTCCTTATCATCTACATCATCACATCAGTTGGGATTGATTTTCCTGATTCTCGTCTCCACACCCCCATGTACTTCTTCCTTGGTAATCTTTCTCTGGTGGATTTTTGTTACTCTTCAGCTGTCACTCCAAAGGTCTTGGTTGGGCTTGTTAGAGAAGACAAGGTCATTTCCTGCTTGTGCTGCTCAGATGTTCGTGTTTACAACCTGTATTACTGTGGAAAACTACCTGTTGGCCATAATGGCACTATGGCCGCTATGCAGCAGTGTGCAAACCCCTCCATTATACCACCACCATGACAACTCGTGTGTGTTTGTGTCTGTTCATAAGATCTTATGTCGTTGGCTTCCTGAATGCTTCCATCCATGTTGGGGACACATTCAACCTCTCCTTTTGTACATCTAATGTGATCCATTATTTTTTCTGTGACATCCCAGCAATTATGGTTCTCTTGGATGCATAATACTTGCATTTCTTCCTTTAGGATTATCTGTTGGAACCCGCACATAAATTCAAGTGTCTGATGAAGTCTATTGTATAGAAAAGAAGATATATCTGAATAAATATACGTGAATAAGAATGGCTAAAAAATCTTGCATATCTCTAAAAGTATCTTTTGACTAATAATAAAATCTGTCATTTAGGGGTGATCCTAGAGTCACAGGATTGTGGGACAAGGCCAGCTCCCACAAAAATAGCATAGAACCAGACCCAGTACTGTCAAAAAAATCATTCATTCTTGATACTCTTGTGCTTTTTCTCCTCCCACAAGATAGAAATAGAAATACATACACTTCAATTCCATAGGAAACTCATAATGCAAGAAAATGGATACTGACTTTCACACGCTGATAACTGCACACACACAGAGTAAATTTGCCTGAATTAAAGGTAATTTGGATACTGTGGTCATTAATTTTCTATGCTAACTTGACTGGATTGAGAGATATCATTGTAACGAATTAAAAAAATATTTTTCTGTAGGTGTCTGGGATATTTTTCCAGAGGAACTTACCTAAGTATCGCCAGCCAACAAACTTGGTAAAGATTCATCATCAGCAGTGTGAGTCTATCATTAGCTAAATAGATATAAAAGTAGGCAAAGAGCAATGCTCCTTCTATCAATGTTCTCTTTTTTCTCCCCTCTTCTTCCTCCTCTCCCCTCTGTTCCTTTTCCTTTCCTCTCCTGTTCCCCTCTTCTCTTCTGTCACTGTCTCTGTCATCTCTCTGTCTCTGTCTGTCTCTGTCTCTTCTCTGTCTCTCTCTGTGTCTATCTCTTTGTCCCTGTTTGTCTCCCACCTTCTTTCTCTCCACTTCATCTTTATTTTCTCCTCTCCTTTAACTGGAAAAACTGGGTCATCTATCTCTCGGACATTAGGGCTTCTAATGTATGCCTGATATCTTGGGCTTTGGTTCTTCAAAACAACACCAGCCACATCTCATCTCCTCTTTCTCAGGATCTGAACTCAAATCTAAACTCAAACTAAATTTACACATCATTTCTGCTCTGCAGCAGCCACAAGAAACATTCAAGGACTTCCCAACTGCCATAGCCCTACTAGATGTGACTCTACTTACCCTCTTGATTCCGTTTGACTGAAGAACACTAACCAATTAAACTGGTAAAAGAAGTAAAAATAAATTATCAAAATAATCAGTAATGAAATGAAAGCAAATAATGAATCAGTAAATTCAAAAAATAATAAAATGAATAAAACACCAACAAAGACCAATAAGAACTGATGGTTCTCCCTGTTTGTTATATAAGAAATTACTGCCTGCATTTAGAATATGGATAATAATTTAGATTATCTCAGTGTCCATAATTTAATTACAATTGCAGTGTCATGGTCACATAGGGCAATATCTCAGGCACCAGATTTTATAACCTGATACTGTAGGACCATTGTTTAGCTGCCAATAGATTTGTGGACTAGACATAGAATTTTAATGAATGCGAGGTACAACGTTCCAGACAAAACCACTACATAGCTTTAACAATATGGCAATATCTAGCCTCAGAATAAGTCATAAGAAAAAATGCAATATACAATCCTGTGGTTAAGTGACAACATAGTCAAATAAAAGATTTCACACAAAAATGGAATGGACTAACAAATCTTTGAGCTAGTGACGGCTCAAAAGCTTGGCATTTTCCAGACTGGTTTCTGTGATTTGTCAACAGGAAACAGTATTTTATTGTACCAATGAGTCGTATAAGACACTATGTTGAAAATGAACTTTACAACTTTGGGGGGTGGGGAGGGATGAATTGAGGAGGGAGGGAGGGAAAGGATGGTAGGGGGAAAACAAAAGAGGAGGTAACAATACTCAATAGAAAATGTACTCATTACCTTACTCATATAACTCTAACCCCTCTGTACAGTATCCTTGCAATAAAAAAGAATGAATTTAAGAAAACTAAACCCTGGAACAAGTGAAAAGATGGGTTTCAAGGAAGAAATCTTGAGGAAGATGGCTCCCATGGAATAATGACTGCTCAATGAGAGTCTGCATCTTGAACTCACATTGTCCAATCCCAGCTCAAAATTTGTATCACTGTCCTTCTATTCTCATGGCTACAGCACAGTTAGACACTCTCTAGGAACATGGATATGGAGGTAGGACAGGATAGAACTGGTTCAGTTCATGCTGCTGGAACTGACCAGTAATCCAGCCTGCATGTCCCCCTCTTTAGTACCTTCTTGTTCTTCTACATCATCACCCTGTTTGGAAGCCTGTGGATGGTCTTACTACCTCTCTTGGACTTGTGTCTCCACATTCCCATGTGTATTTTCCTTCTTCACCTGTCTCTAGTGAATGTGTGTCACTCTTCAGCTGTCATTGCTGATCTCCTCACAGCAGACAAGGACACTTTTACAATGCTTGTACTGCTCAAATGTTCTTTCTGGCCTTCACTACTGTGGAAAGGTATCTGTTGGTTTCAGTGGGCTGTGAACACTGTGCCCCAGTGCGTAAGCCCCTTCCTTGGCATGACAGCCCACATGACAACTAGTGTGTGAAACAGTCTGACCATATGCTCCTATGCGTGTGCATTCTTAAATCCTCTGTTCATGTGAGGGACACGTCGAGTCTTTCCTTCTATGAGTCCAATGTGGCCTGTCACTGTTCTGTGATGCTCCAAGAGTCATGTTGGTTCGCTAGTTCTCATTTACCTAATGAGCTCTAAAGTGGGGGTGGGGTTGCCCTCTTAGTTATCTGGATAACTTACATATTTATTTTATCATCATCTGCAAGGTGCCATCAAGTGCTGGACTTTGGACAGCTGTGCCCACCTGGACCTTCCACTTCACTGCAGTCTCTAGTTTCTACAAGACTGTTCTCATGTACAGTGTGGATAGTGATTAAATCTCCTCTGTGTTTTACCCACTGTTTAAGCCCATAAAGAGCCCTGTGGTCTACAGCCTGAGGGACAAGGAAGTCAAGAATACATTCACTAAGATTTTACTGGAGACAAACAGACTTAACCATTTTAATTTTAATGAAGCAGGATTCACAAAACTTGGATTTGTCCCTCTAATATCCCTTCTATGAACTATTCCTTTTTTAAAGTAAATTTACCTGTAATCCCATTAAAGTTGATCTATGTAGTGTTTCTCTTGCTTCTGCAAGTGTACTGCATACAATGCAAACACATTATATAGAGAATCATAAAACTGAAAGAGAAATAAGAATGACTAAGACATTTTGAGGTTAGCTTCACACTTAGGAAGGATATTGGCATGATGGTTTTAAAGGACATGATACTGGCCACTCTTGTTGTATCAGCAGTTTGTATAACTTAACTATTTTCAAAAATAGCTGTAATTGCACACATATATCTATGTGTTTGGCCTCACTAGACAGCTGACAAGAAGAAACTTCATAATCACTTGGATGTTATAACAAGTTCTGAATGTTCTCAGGGTCACTTCATAACACTCTATTTATTTTGATGACAGCACTACTTCAGTACTGAATTGTACAACTTGCTGTCTCTAGAAGGCAGTGGCTGAGGGAGCGCGCGTATGCTCTGTCTAACAGTCACTTAATACATATTCTAAGGAGTTAGATTCAAATATGTTTTGTTAAATGGATAAATAAGATCCTGAGCTCAAACTCTGCTTTGTGTGTCTAGAATAGAGAAGTTTTATTTATTTTTTTTACAATGGAGTGACCATTGCTTCTACAGCTTGAGGGGAGCCAATAGTGAGGACTTTTCTTATTTAAGTACTGTGTTACTAGGGTTCTCTATGTGTTTATATTTAATTATCATAGCTCTGTGAAATAATACATATATAGAGAAATATGTGGAAGATATATATATATATATAGATATATATGAAGTGTCTTAATGGAGCCCCTTTCTTTGTGTTTTCTCTTTATGGAGTGAGAAAAAGGGAGTATATGTATATGTGCGTATATACATACATACATACATACATTCATACATACATATAGTATACTATACTATATGACAATATGCTCTATAAGTTTATATAAGCAAATAGAGAAAATACAAGATATTCTGAATAAATGAATTAGGAGAGTTCAAATTCAAAAATTTTGTGAAAAAATTTTTGACAAGCTGTTTTGCAGCTTGGTATGATTCACCCAAACAAATATATAACATTAGAAAATAAATCTGGTTGCTAGAAATCTACTCTTATGAAATGAAATTTTATATCTACATGAAGCTCTTTATTCCAATAGTTAGATCAGTCATATTCATAATCACTAAACACTAAAACCAACATAAATATTTCAACCAAAGAAGGGCAAAAGAACCTAAAATGTGGATATAATAAAATACACGTAATTTTTTGTTACCAATGTCACACAAGTGAGTATATATGTAGAACTCAAGTAAATGGTAGATGCCAGACCCGTCAACCATGTATCCTATAATATAGTTGAGGACATTGTAGCAACGTTCTTGGATAAAAAAATCTATTTAAGCTTAGCACCGGGTGCTCATGCCTATAATCCTAGCTACTCAGGAGGCTGAATTCTGAGGATTGAGATTCAAAGCCAGCCCATGCAGGAAAGTCTGTGAGATTCTTATCTCCAATAAGCCACCAGAAAACCAGAAGTGGTATTGTGGCTCAAGTGGTAGAGCACTAGCCTTGAGCTGAAGAGCTGAGGGACAGTGCCCAAACCCAGAGTTGTAGCCCCACAATTGACAAAAAAAATAAATCTATATGATGCCATGGTACTTGTTAGGACAAAAAGTTATCAATGATAGGTTCAGATAAATTTGTTTAGTTAATTGTGCTCTTAGATACATGACAACCTACTCAACAAAATTCTTAAAACTCTATGGTCAGCATTACAGTAAGACATATATGTATTAGTTAGGAAACAAAATATAACAAAAAATAACTAGAAATGCAATATACTTGAATAGTAAAAATAACCAGTGTGACTTGCCCTCCCCCCACCACGGACCAGATAATTGTTGCTGCCCTAGGAATGTAAGATGAGTGCTGTGGATAGTCTCATGGGTTTTATCTCCAGAGATATTTGAGACTAATTATCTACAGATCTCAAAATGATTCGCTTAAATCACAGTATTATTCAATATCAATTGTTTTAAAAGATGTCCATTATATTCAGTGCTTTGCTGGATCTCATTTATTCATGGAATGATTGTAATTGTTGTTATAGATAGCCATCTTCTGACCTGAGGATTTGTTATGAACTTTCAATGGTTAGGAAAACACTTAAAGACAATAACTACATCGATTGACTTTTAATTAACAATCACTTATGTTTTATCTAAAAAACAATGATTATAGACCTCACTCATTTGTTATTCACATATACAACCTGTACTTGATAAGAAATATGGAACCTTACATTTATTTCACAAATGAAAAGGAGGCAAGTGAATCCATATGAAAAGAATTCATGGCAGATTTTAAAATAGATCAAATGCTAATGTTCTTTTCCTTTCCCTGCTTAGAGATTTTTTACCCTGGCCCAAGAGATCTCTGCCAAAACTTTTGCAGCAACCCATGACTTTATGATTTCAGACTTACTGTTGTAAATTGACAACTTGTCAGTCTCATCTGAGAAACAGGTAAATTCTTATATTCCATAAACACTGTTTGTAAGAAACATAGTGCATACTAAAACATAGAGGCAGCTCTACTTAACTGTGGGTTATTTCAAAAGAAAAACATGCTTTCAAAATTTGTATAAAGAACTGAAGTGAGACTGTTGTATGAATGCCAAAGCTTGTAGAATATAGTGTTCAAATATTCTAATGACACACTATGTACTTTTCAAAAAATAGAAACAAAAACAAGCCGCTCAGGTTAGCTGGAGATTTTGTCATTTCTCTTTATTAGAAGCAAAGAAATAAGCAAGCAAATGACCCTTCTTAAAACATACATAGATGCTACCTGAATGAACCCACCATTCATTTAAACCTTTTCCACACAATCTCATATGGACTGTTAAGAATATAGCTGCTGTTGTTATTATTATCATTTTTGCATTGATACACATGGACAATGAGAGAACTAGAGGCATACTATTACTGAAGATAGCTTTAATTTTTTTGTTTTTTTATTATAGCTATAAAGATTTAGAGGATCGGATGAGTTCTTAATCTTCAATTATCTTGAGGTAAAGTAATGATGATAATTAGTAATAATAAAAGGCCTTACACACACACGTGCTCATATACACATAAATTCATATTCATATGTAGATACCTTTCTGAAGGACAGAAATATTAAATAGGTCCTACCAGGGACTGGGTTATTACTGAGAAGGGTAGACAAATGAGGAGGGGGAAGGAGAGTGAATATGGCCAAAATAATTCATGTCTATGTGTAAAAGTAGAACAATGAAGATTGACTAAAATACCTCATGTATTTTGTGTGAAAAAAAAATAGAACAATGAGGATTGTTGAGTTAGTTTGAGAAGTGGGTTAAGGGGGATGAGGGAAAGTGAGGGAGGAGGTAAGCTGATCAAGGTACACTGTGTACAAAAATGGATGTGCACAGTGACAATAAAATCTCCGTATATACATGATATATAAATATATATGTTAGGAAATGTTTTAAAGACCATATAATTAGTTGTGGAACACAGTGATTATTAAAAGTAGTCATGTGTGCTAATAGTTGACAAACACAATGTCCTTTTGGAAGGCTCATGAACAAAATTACCAAAGATCCAGTAGAAAGACTGACAGGAAATAGAAATTCATTTCGTGTGAATATCTTTCCATATGCAAGCTATCATCTTTTTCAGATTCAAACCAATAAACTGAGCAAAGTGTGATGGTACATTCATGTAGTTCTGTCTACTGGAGGTTAAGGCAAGAGTACTGTTTTAGACTAGAAACTCTGTCATAACCAAACAAAGCTAGGAAATTCCTGTTGCTGCATGACAACATACACAAAATATTCCACAAAATGGAATGTGCCAACCAAACAAATCTGTGAGCCAGCAACATCCCATAAGCTGGAGGCTTGCAGCTTTTTCTGTCACTTGGCAACAGAGAGACAATAATGCAAGAATTAGTTTAAGCAAAACAAACTCTTTCACCCAAATGAAAATAGGAATGTTTAAGGAGGAAATTTGGAGAAAGAATGGCACAAAAGAAATTCCAGGAACAGCCACAAAGCTTGGAGCAAGAATATAGAGAAAGACTTCAGGGCACAAAGACTCTTTGTGATCCTAGAGTTAAGTGAAATGCAAATAGATGAGGGAAGCTTCTAGAAATCAAATGTAACTGAAATGGCTACCATACAGGTCAGCATTCACTTGAACAAAACATGATAGACAGTGCTCCTGAGATTGTGTTTAACACCCAGGATTTTATCCCTATTATCTCATTTAAACCTCACAATAAGGGCTGGGAAGGTGGCTCAGTGGTAGAGTGTTTGCCTCTCACGCATGAGGCTCAGGGTTCAATTCCTCAGCACCACATAAACAGAAAAAGCCAGAAGTGGTGCTGTGGCTCAAGTGAAGAGCCCTAGCCTTGAGCTGAAGAGCTGAGGGACAGTGCCCAGGCCCAGAGTTCAAGACCCACAACCAACAAAAACAAAAGCAAAAAAAACTTCACAATAATATTTCATTCCAGGTCTCATTACTTGTTTATATTGCAGATAGAAATATAATGGGAAGGGAGAACTCCTAGATGGTAATTGATGAGCACAAGCTACGCTGTGCATCTCTTCTGTTCATGAGGTGCTTGCTCTTAGAACTACGTCTGCAGGTTAAATTTGCTTCCACCACAATACTTGTCTAGCCTACTTCTAGGCATCATAAAAATGTTTCATTCTGATTTCTCGGTTAAAGTTATCTTTATCCAAATAAAATTTTCATGATTTTCTCCATACTATTGTCAAGTTTAAATGTGCTTGTCTGTGGGGAGACCTTAAAATGTAGCTCAGAGCTTATTAATTCATTCAGGAACTTTTTCTACTAGAAAGGGTCATGCACCCTTCTATTTTTTGTTTTCTGGATGTTATCTCTAATGGAAGATAAATACACAGTAAAAAGGGTGATGTTACCATACAATGAATCACTTATATACTTCCCAAAGAGATCATCCTCAGTTTAAACTTAAGGAAGACAAGAAGTAGTTCCAGCATGTAATGAATTTTAGATTAGACTCTCAGATTAAATGTTTTATGGATCCATTACCAACTAGTAAGTAATATGGATAAATTGCTCTACTCTTTGTGCTTCATAATTTACGTGAGTATAACAACAACAATTATTAAAGGAGACAATGAATGTGCATGTAAATTTTCTACACCCACTCCTGGCTGGTAAGCAATATTTAACTAATTTAATTTTAATGAGTTCAGGAGAAGTCAATTGATAGACTTGTTCACATAAGTTATTTTCATGGTATCAAAATGTCTGCATCACAATTGACAAATCAGAAAATGTTTAAATTGGATAGACAATCCTTGAGTATTCTTCAAATTCCACAGGATGCCACCCAGTATGTAATTATTGCCCTAAATTGGGTTTTCAGACTGATGCTTACTTTGAAATAAAAGTTTTTGCCCAGTGCAAGAAAATATTTTGTACTTATGTAGTACAATTTTAATCCATTATGTTACCATTCGCTTTGCTTTTTTTTTCCTCATGGCTACAGAGTATCTTGTGATTCCCTGGTAACTCTGATAGAGAACAGGATGGAAGTGACTGAGTTCATCCTGCTGGGGTTGACCAGTAACCCAGACCTGCAGGTCCCCCTCTTCATCACCTTCCTCATCATCTACATCATCACGCTGTATGATGGGGATGGTCCTCCCACGCTGGTTGGGAACCTGGGGATGGTCCTCCTGATCCTCTTGGACTCTCATCTCCACACCCCCATGTACTTCTTCCTTGGTAATCTCTCTCTGGTGGACTTTTGGTACTCTTCCGCTGTCACTCCAAAGGTCATGGCTGGGCTCCTCATGGGAGACAAGTTGATCTCCCACAATGCTTGTGCTGCTCAGATGTTTTGCTTCGCTGCCTTTCCTGGTGTGCAGAATTACCTGTTGGCCATAATGGCCTATGATCACTATGCAGCAGTGTGTAAGCCCCTCCATTATACCACCACCATGACAACCAGTGTGTGTGCGTATCTGGTCATAGGATCTTATGTGACTGGTTTCTTGAATGCCTCCATCCACGTGGCAGACACATTCAGTCTGCCCTTCTGTAAGTCCAATGTGGTCCATCACTTTTTCTGTGATATCCCGGCAGTCATGGTTCTCTCTTGCTCTCATAGGCATGTTAGTGAGCTGGTTCTTATGTATTTAGGGGCCTTCCATATCTCTTTTTCCCTCCTGGTTAACTGGATATCCTATATATTCATTTTTATCACCATCTTAAAGATGCACTCGGGTGCCGGGCATCAGAAAGCTGTATCTACTTGTGCTTCTCACTTCACAGTGGTCTTCATTTTCTATGGGACTGCTATCTTCATGTACTTACAGCCCAGTGCCAGTCATTCCATGGACACTGACAAAATCACATCTGTGTTTTATAGTGTGTTCATCCCCATGCTGAACCCTGTGGTCTACAGCCTGAGGAACAAGGAGGTCAAGAATGTATTAAAAAAAGATATATTTAGCCTAAGAATGACCTTAAGGGCTTTTCTTTCAATGATGTAGGAATCTTATCTCATTTCTCTCAGACTTTTTTATAACCAGAGTCACAGTTTTAGACTGAGATTTAAATAATTGTCCATAAGGAGTTCTCCAAATTTTGTGAATATGAAGCGATATGTTTGGAATCATAAGACCTGAAGAGGATATGTGGAGGATCCTTGTCATAGCACTGATGAATGATACTGATGTGATGGTTTTAATAGTTATGTCATTAACCATTCTAGTAAAAGCAGTTTGTATAAATTATTTTGAAAAGTATCTACAATCTGTGTGTGTGTGAAGAACTTCATAATCACCTGAATCATCTATATTCTGAATACTTCTTATTGCTGGCAGCATTAGTAAATGGGTAGTAACTCTAGGTAGAACTTTCTGTCACTATCTGCATACAAATAAGGAAAGATGTTTGATTTCCAGAAATGAAAAGAGCTGGAATTTAGTACGCTTTGATGAAAAGAATGAACTAGGTTGTAATATTTAACGCTGTCTTTGTTAATCATTTCTTCATTCTGAATAGTTGTATAGAGCCGATTTACTATCAAAATACCATTTAGGTCTAAAGCTTGAGGGAAGCAAATGCCATGGACACTTCTTGTTTCAGGCATTGCATTAGTAGATTTCATATATGTTCAAATTTACTTTTCACAGCGCTGTGAAATAAGTACTCTGGGTATTGGATGGTTACAAAGCATGACACTGGGATTCAAAAAATGGCTGTTAATCAGTTCCACTAATCTATACAATCTAGGTAAATTACTGAATAACTTCTACTTGTAATGCAGCATAAATGATCTTCAGTAATATACTTCTAAATACTAACATTGTTTCTATCAATATTAATCTGTCTTCTCATTCTTCTTAACTTTCATTTAACCCTCCCACTCTCTCTCACACACAATCCTATATCTCACATCCTTGTATATAACTTTGTGATTGCAATTTATACTGATTTGTATTATACGAATACAAATGTCAGTACACAGGTTTTTTCTCTTTTCATACTTTTACCTGTATAAAGCTCCTATATTAATAGTAGATAGTATAATGATAATGGCAATAGTAGCGATGGTAGTAGAATTTGATATTAATCAGTACTTGCTATGAAATTGAGATTGCCCTAGCATTCAAAATGATTGTATGTATTAGCTGTGCCACTTAAATAGATAAAATGTTATTAACAAAATCATACAGATAAAGTGACACACAGAAAAATTATTTTGAACTATAGTGTCTGGAATGGTGCAGTAAGATTATGTATCTTATGCTATTCTTCATTCAGGACTAGAAACAGTGCTGAAATAAAGTATCTTTTGGTATGGTTATTTCATTTGTTTGACTATATCTATCTGATCGTGGGATAACTTGATCATATTATAGCTCTGTCTTTAATTTTTAAGAGATCACCATATTGTCCATAATGGCTGTGCTAACATATCTTCACCAATAGTGTGCAAACTTTTCTCCAAAGTCTCACCAGCATTTGTTAACTTTAGTCTTTTTCATAATAATCATTCTTACTGGGATGAGATGATATCTCACTGTGGATTCAGTGAGCAGCTCCCCGACAATCAATGATGTTGAACAAAGTTCAGATGTCTCTTGGTCATTTATATTTCTTCCTTTAAAGAGGTGTCTATTCAGGTCTTTCCCATGTTTTAACTGGATTATTTTATTTTTGCCATTGAGTTGTTTAAATTTCTTGTGCATTCTAGATAATAACCACATTGTCAGGTGTATAAGTAGGTGAATAATTTTCCCATTTTGTAAGTTGTCTCTTTTTAGCATCAAATTAAAATTTTACTAACATGAAGTAAATTAAAGATGTCTTATATGGTCAAATATAGCCTAATGCATTATAAGAATATGTCACAAGGTGATTTCATCATTGAGTAGTCATGGTGTGTGTGTAAATGTGTGTGTATGTGTGTGTTTATATATATATATAGAATAACAATTCAAGCTATAATCAATATAATTAACAATTATAATAATTATGATTATTCATAATATAATTCATATAATTAATATGAAGGCTATAATTAATATTTTACTTGGGATTTTGGCTGACAGTAAATTTTAGGTGAACATATACACAAGAGACTATGTATATGTCCATTTGCTTGACTGTACCATCTCTCATGCACACACATGCACACACACACACACACACACATACACACACATATATGGTCATGATTATCTTGATATCAGAAGCAGAATATTTCTGCTTGAAATTAGAAATTTGTAAGTCAATATCTATGAAGAAGAAGTTGCAAAAAATCCTTTGTAAAATACTAACAAATTAAATTCAGCATCCATTACAAGGATCATTCACCAAATGAGATTCATCTCAGGAAGAATCCAAGGACGGTTTAATGAACTCAAATTAATAATATAATACACCGCATTAACAAAGTGAAGGGCAAACTCTCTAGATTAGTCATTTCAACAGATGCAGAAGAATCATTTGACAAAAGACTCCTTAAGAACAACTCAACATATTTGCATTGAAGATTCTATAAGTATATATAAAGCCCATATATAAAAAGACATCATAGAAAATATCAAACTCAGTGGTCAGGAATTAAAAGCTTTCCTTTTAAGAGTAGAAATAAGACTAGAGAGAAGATAATACCTAATTTTTAAAGAGATAATTTAGACATTAACATAAAAGAAGGGATTCCAAATATTAAAGGATAAGCATTCAATCTTGATTGCTGGAGGGTAATTTATAAGAGAAAGAAAACCCACTTGCCTACAGATGTCAGAAAATTTCTAAGTTGCAGGCACAGACACAATTCTATGATGTACATCAGTCCATTTTATTATTTCTCAATCAAAGGTAAGGAAACTGAGCTCAGCAAGTAGATTTAAAATTCCCATGTCCCTGAATCATATGTGTCCATCTGTTGTAAACTGAGGAAATGAAAACAGAGAGATTATTTATCATACTTCTAAACTTCATATTGGCCTTATATTTAATTGTAACACCTTAAAGAATAAATACAATAAAGTGAAAATTTAATAGTGATGGCAGATAGAAAGCAAAGTAAGTTTAGAATCTATTTTAATATCAACAGTCATAATAAATGTAAAGAATTATATGCCCAGTTTATGCAAATTGCATAAAGCTAAAGCTGAGAGGAATAAAACAATGGCAATGATTACTGCAAACGCATAGGTATTCTTGAGCCATCAGTCCACTGTTCCTGCACACAGTTTAGCATCCTTTCCCCTAGGTAAGTAGAAGGAGGTGAATAGAGTAGGTGGAAGGAGCAGATAAATGGACCTCAGAGGGAGACTCTCCTGAGAGCTTTGTAGTTGTGTAATGTTCACCTACTTTCCCAATCATTAAATTCTGAAATCCCACAGTGACTCCACAGGACAGCATTTTAAAGAGGCCAGTGTGTGTGAACACAGTATACAGTCATCATTTACTGAAATGGATGGTTTTATTGTAGAGCAATTCTTTCTCCAAACATGATTTGCAGTGTGGCTGCAACCCCTGGGAGAGAAAAATGCTATAAGATCAAAATTGTATTGGATCACACCAGAAGAATAATCTTTACTAAAACCTTGTGCACTACTCTTACTTGCTAGGCACAAACACAATTCTATGATAGATGTGGGGCAATCCGTTTTATGGTTTCTCAACCCCAAATAAGGATACCAAGCTCAGCAGATGCTCAATAACTTTTCTATGAACATGGTTCCATGCATGATAGGCATGATATGTTATGTGTTAAAGATTCAGGGTCCTTTTGACTTATTCTTCAATGATGAATCTGACTTCAGATAGAAGCACAACTCAAGATTTCCTTTCCCTTCTTTTCAAGATGCAAGGTAAGGTTCTATATTTAATAAACCTATTAGTGAAAGGTAAATTAGTGATCAATGATGAAAAATGGACCACCTACATCTTCTGTTCATATTGGGCTGAATTCTTTTTCTCAAACTTTGATGAAGTTCTGGGATCCAAATTCTTTGAAGTATTTTATTTTACTCAGTAGACAGCACAATGATGTGAAATTACATGCAGGAGTAGCAAAAGCTAGGATATTTGATGCTCTCATTAAGCAGATGGTAATTATCTCATTTAAGTATGTTGTGCTATCATTGAAAAGACAGCTCAGCCAGAGTCAAATGACACTTTATTAGCTTCTACAAATTCTTTCTGAAACCACCAAAGTACCCACTTCTTTCCACCCTCACCCTTTTGTTACATTTTCATACAGAAAATATGTCACGCAGTGATTAAAAGCACATTCACAAGAACCAATTAAATGTTAATTTGCATCTTGAATATCTTATATGAGGCATAGAGTTTTAGGAAGGCATCTAAACTCTCCTGCTTCCATTTTGTTTAATGGTCAGTGAGATTGTATTCATACATGTAGGAGTATGTGTGCATACACACTCCACCTCTTCCCCCCCCCCACCCCACCCCAACCCCGCCCCAGGGCTATCTACGTTAACTTTTAGATGGCATTCATCTAAAACAGTCTTTGCACACAAACCAGTCTTATTTTCAATGTCACTATTTCTAGCTAGAAATAGAAATTTCATGTGCAGCCAGTTTATTGTTACTAAACTGATGAGATTTGTTTTGGAAGAAGAATTTATTTTATGTACACCGACTGGGCCATGCGTATGCCTCTTTCTTCATCTCTTTTGCAAATAAGCCATTTGCAAATTAGAAATGTGATCTCTAAAGATGCTTTCATTTCAACAACCCCTTATGCTAAGATAACTTACTCTGAGGTTTTATGTTCACTGCAGTAGCTCATCTAATGGCTAATGATTAAAAATAATGCTGCACTTGCTAGAATTATAATGTGTCACCTCACATTGTAAAAGAGAATGTGTATATGTGATTGAGTTAAAGGTATTGAGATGTTAAGCTTCTTTAGATTATACAAATGGAGTGAAAGCAAGAGTCCCTCAGTTTAAGACTCAGTACTGCAATACCAGCATCAATAAAAGAAAAAGATACCTTACAAATAGTAAGCACTAAATACTACTTATTGCTATTGTTATCACATAGGCCTGAGAATGATAAACTTTTCTCTACACAGTGATCTAAAAGTCTGGGCTGGAAGGTGGCTCAGTGGTAGAGTGCTTACCTTGCATGCATGAAGCCCGGGGTTCGATTCTTCAGCACCACATGAGGAGTAAAAGCCAGAAGTGATGCTATGGCTCAAATGGTAGAGCGCTAGTCTTGAGTTGAAGAGCTGAAGGACAGCACCCAGGCCCAGAGATCAGGCCCCACGACCAAAAAAATAAATAAATAACAATAGTAAAATCAGTTTACTATAAAGAAATGATGATGCTTCTTGTGCCCTGTCTTTTACTTGACCCTTCTTTGGGTTGTTGTGAGTTTTCCTAGATATTTTCTACATTTAATTCTTGTTGCATAGATGATTGGCATTTACATACTTGGGTTGCTATTCTATATGTTTCCATGTCACTTTGTTTTCTCTATTTTTTGTATATATTTGACTGTTTGAAGAACAGACATGTTTATTTTAACTTGAATGTTTTATACTGTATACATGCATGGAAATGGCATACTTACTCATTAATATTTAAAACTTTCTATGGCTTTATGTGTCAGCTGAAAGAAAATTAAATATAAAATGTTCAAATTTATTAAGAGTATTTGATTTAGAAATTACCTTGTTTGGGTCTAAGTTTTGGATTTGTCTTATAATATCTATAAATAATTACTTAATCTTAAATAATTACTGAACCTATCTGTTCCCAAGTCACTTTATATAAAAGGGGCATAATAACAAACATACAAAGTCACTTCATATAAAAGAGACATAATAACAAATTAACCCATCAGGCTTGTAAAGAATATTAAGTGAAGACACAGAAATGTAAGCAATTAGTCACAAAGGCTTAGAAAATAGAAATACTCTCATGTATGGGATCTTGAGAAACATACTACCACTCCTGCAAGTTAGTTGATGTCTATAAAAAATTAAAAAGTTGAGCTGGGATGTAGCTCAGTGGCAAATCACTTGCCTAGCAAGTGCAACGTCCTGGGTTCGATCCTCAGTACCAAAAAAGAAAAGACAAAAAATACAGCTAAAAAATTAAGAAGTCGAAAATGATGTATGTAAACACTGTTTCTTCAAAAGTCTAACATTGCATAGGTAAGTTGATCACTAAATTTATACTATCATCAGACACTTTAGATAAAAAACTATTTAAAAACAAATTGTTATTATAATGGAATAGTGCTTTCACAGTTCAATAGGTACACAATTGTGTTCTCTGCTTGTCTTTGCTACAGAAGACCTTTGATTCTGAAATTCTGCCTATGGAGAATGGGACGGAGGTGCGTGAATTCATCCTCTTAGGACTAACCAATGACCCAACACTACAGGTTCCTCTCTTCATCATCTTTACACTTATCTACCTCATCACCATGATTGGAAATCTAGGAATGATCACGGTCATCCTGCTGGACTCCCATCTCCATACTCCCATGTACTTTTTCCTCACCAACCTATCTCTGGTCGACTTTTGCTACTCTTCAACAGTCACTCCCAAGGTCATGGCTGGGCTCTTGCTAGGAGACAAGGTCATGTCCTACAATGCCTGTGCTGCTCAGATGTTTTTCTTTGCAGCCTTTGCCACGATGGAATGTTACTTCTTGACCTCCATGGCCTATGACCGCTACACAGCAGTGTGTAAACCCCTCCATTATGCCACCATCATGACCAAACATGCCTGCGCTCGTCTGGCCATAGGCTGCTATGTCACTGGTGTTCTGAATGCTTCTATACAAACTGGGGACATCTTCTGCCTCTCTTTCTGTATGTCCAACGTGGTCCATCACTTCTTTTGTGACCTTCCAGCAGTCATGACTCTGGCGTGTTCTGAGAAATACACCAGTGATCTGGTTCTTATACTTGTGACAAGCTTTAATGTCATTTTTGCCCTTATGGTTATCTTGATTTCCTATGTGTTCATCTTTATAACAATTTTAAAGATGCGCTCAAGTGAGGGATACCAGAAGGCTTTATCTACCTGTGCTTCACACCTTGTTGTGGTCTCCATCTTCTATGGAACTGTTATCATCATGTACATACAGCCCAGCTCCAGTCATTCCATGGACACTGACAAAATTGTATCTGTGTTCTACACCATGGTGATTCCCATGTTGAACCCCCTGGTCTATAGCCTGAGGAACAAGGACGTGAAGGGTGCATTCAAGAATATTGTTGAGAAGGCAAAACACTCTTTAGGCTTAATCTTTTAGTTATGTAGAATTCATAATAAGCTATATCAGCCTGCTTAGATTCTTCTCAGTGGAAGACATCAAGTGCCTCACTTTAGTATTAATAGTCTAGTTAAGAAATTATTCTAAATATGCAAAAATAAAGAAAATTATGACGACAATTATACACATCAGATTTTTATTGACTTGTGTTGTTCAAATAATTATAGTAATTTAATAAATCAATGTCCAAATTGTCATAGAGGAATTTGGCTCTGAGAGTGTGGTTCTATTTCCAATACAAGGTAATATTAGAATAAGCATGGAACAAATGGGTATTGCTTACTTTAATCTATATATACCATCAATTTCTATTTTTGTGTATGTGTATTCTAGTTCTAGAGCTTGAACTCAGGTCCTGGGCTCTGTCACTGAGCATTTTTTGCTAAAGGCTAACACTTTACCCCTTGAGCCACAGCTCCACTTTGGACTTTTTGGTGATTTATTGGAGAGAAGGGTCTCCAAAGTTTCCTGATTAGGTTGCCTTTGATCTGCAATCATCAGATCGTGGTCTCCTGAGTAGCTAGAGTTACAGGTTTGAGCCACTGGGACCAA